GACTGACCGCTATGACGAGGATGCAAACGGGAGGGGCTCAAGAAAATAACGGTGGAAAGGGAGAGTGGCTGCGTGATGATGGCGTAAGTATGGGAAGCGGGGGGCTTTCCGCTCGTTTCCCACTCGATCCTTACGTAACCGCAGCCGAGCTCGAGGGGAATCCTACACATAAATGTTCCACGAACGAGCAAAGAAGACCGATACGGGTACTTTGGGTACCCAATTTGCTGTTTCTGTTGGCGATACGTCCGGTCAGCGGACGCGCGTCGAAGACATTCCGCTGGGCATCGCACACGGCGGCAGGTCGTGTGCTGCATGAGTGTCCCCGAGTCAAGGTATTAATATGTGCGGAGAAGTCACGATGGTGTGAGCGGAGGGACTGAAGATCCACCGATTTGTCAGAAGAGCTGATAACCGATGGATATCCATGCATATATGGAGCCAGGTATCCGCCCTGAAGTCTCTCCTTCGAGTCTAGAAGCGCGATCAGACTCCACGATTTCGTTCACATGCGACTGTTCCCGTGAGTGCATTTGCCATGAGCGGGTGAGCAGATAGTCATGAGAGAATCCGGCGAGTTTCGAAGAATACCACTTCCGCGTGTTCTGCTTCACTCAAGCAGGATGCATTTCTGGGTTCCCGACCGCATCGGGATGCGAGTAACAGACGGCGAATGGTGGCGGCTTGAGCCACTATCGCCAGAGACATAATTAGGAGAGAAAATCGCTGCGAGGAAGTGAAGCGAACGACTTCTTGCCAATTTTTCCGTAGAGGCACGGAAGAGTTCACCCAAAACCTAGTGTGAGACAAAAGTATATGTTATGTCGGTAAGATCTGTCATATTTTTCTCCGACCTGTTCCAGAAAGATGGTCGTCCATAGAGGATTCACTCAGTTAAGGAGTTAGCGAGAGATTCATGCGAGTTTACGACTAGTTTACAGACCCTGATTACACGAGCTCATAGCTCACACAGTGTGTTCCGAAAGTTTCTAACCTTCTTCTGACCTTCGGAAGTTGACCTTGAACTGTGCGAACCTCAAAACTCCGAACACCAGCGGCACAGGTTCCAACAGTGTTCTGGCTCGGCCACCTCTCCCCCCCCCACCCCCACCCCCACCCCCACACCTCCCATAAATCGAGTGTCAGCCATTACCAGGGTTCTTGGAGTGAGAAACCAACACGACGAATGTCATCCGTGGATTCGTCGAGAGCTTTGGGACTGTCGATCCAAAAGTCATATCAATTATCGATGCAGGAGTTAGTTCATAGTTCCCGTTAGTCTCGTCTGAACCTTTATTTTAGTGGGTCAGAAACATTCGAAAGGCGCTGGACACGTAACAAAATTAGGTTCTATTCTCGGCTTGCACTACTTCTTTTGTCCTTTTCTGTCTCTGTCGCAGCAAGGACAAGCACTCGTCCTGCATGCGTGGCAGTTCGTGTTCGTCCCATTCTTTCGATATTCACCTCCTGTACGTACGTCAAGAGTTCTGATTATATTCAGCACTTAAGCGCTGCATATAATCAGAACTGGACCCTTTATACATTTATAACGGGTTCAGCGAAAAAGATGTGAGGGGAAAAGGTTTTCAACAAAATCGACCAAGTTGGCTTTCAAGGGCTTTCAATATTTTGTTGTACCTGAAGAGAAAAAGGTGAACAGAGAAAAATAAATGAGAGAAAAGGGGAAAGAAATGAGGAGCCAAATGAGAAACGGACGGAAGGGTTCATGCCATCAGGAGAGCAGGCATCAAAGACGAAATTTGTGACGATTTTCCAAAGAACGACGAGATTCCTGAGAAGAGTGAGAGTGGAGATCTTCAACTCTGATGGAGTGATTTAGAAGACAGAAATGAGATGGAACCGGCTCAGAAGATTTAGTAGAATCCCCCGAAAGGTGCTCCACAAAACGATTGCCCTAGCGACGTTCACCTGTGTGAGATTTGGAAGGGCAGATGGTGCAGGAGACGAGATAGGCATCGTCTTTAATGCGGCATGTAAAATGTTGCAAGATTTTGAAGCGGGAGGGATGGGGGCAGCGTCGGGTTCAGACACGAGAATGCGAGGCATCTACTGGTTTTGCAAACAGGCTTGCCAAGCCCAGCCACAACAGTGGATCCCCTTTCAGTCGGAGTCAGGAGTCAGGAGAGTTAGTGATATCAAGAGGCGATTTCGCCCATTTCGATATCACGTGTCGAGGTCGAGCGTTCCTTAATTTTAGGGTAGGCCTAACCCTCTTAAAGCTAAATATTTTTGTATTTTTGTTATTATTTTTTTATTTTATTATTATTTTTTTTTTTTACTATCCTAGTTGCTTACTGTCTAGTACCTACGTCAAAATTGCCCCCCACCTTTTGCCTGTCCATGAAAGCATCTAGTTTCTTCTTAAAGATAGTCACAGCGCGGGGCAGCCACTACTTCGTCATCTAACGCATTCCACGCGTTCACCACTCTGCAAGTAAAGAATTCCTGTCTCGACCTGAGCCGCATCTGCGGTTTGCGCAACTTAAGTCGGTTACCTCTCGTTCTCTTGCTGTCATCAAACTGGAAAAACCTACCACACTCGACATTATCTATTCCTTTAATTATCTTGAAAGCCTGGATGAGATCGCCCCTCCTTAACCTTCGTTCGAGCGAGTACAGTCTCAACACTTCTAAACGCTTCTCGTATGATAGTCCCCTAACCTCCTTAATCATTCTTGTGGCCCTCCTCTGTACTCCCTCGAGCGCCAACAAATCGCCCTTATTTGTAGGCCTCCAAAACTGGATGCAATATTCCAGCTGGGGTCTTATCAGCGCCGCATACAACGGAAGAATAACGCGAGATGTCCTACTTGCAACCGACCGACGAATGTAACCTAGAATCCTATTGCATTTGGCCACCGTCGCTTGCGCGTGCGAGGAAAACTTGAGGTCCTCATCGATAGAAACACCTAAATCTCTCTCTCCGTTTGCCTCATCCAATTTAACATCGCCGAACGTGTCGAGAGACCTACCGTTGTTTCGACCGACGTGGAGAACTTTACACTTACTTTTATTAAACCTCATGAGCCATTTCTTGCTCCATTCGTCCAAAAGACTTAAATCTCGCTCGGCTCGAGCCCTATCCGCCTCCCCCCTTATGGTAAAATCTATCTTGGTGTCGTCGGCAAATTTACTTATCTTACCCTCTACCTCTAATTTACTTATCTTACCCTCGAAGATCTTACCTATTTAGGAGTTTGCGAATGTTAGCCTTCTTAACCCTACACTGCATGGTGTATCGGATATGGCACGCTCTGCTTTGCATTGAAACTCATTACAACACAATGGAAAAACCAAAATTAAAGTATAATTTTTTCATTATTTTTCTCGTCAACATAAAAATATTGGAGGGAGACCCCTGAGTTATGGCCTCTTATTCAGCCCACCAAGTGAAATTCTGACGCTCTACCGTCAATGAAAGGAACACAGACTGTTCGTATTGGAATGCCACAAAGGGACTATTTACCGCCCTGTTTCTGGTCATTCCAGGGCCTCAGGGCAAATGGAGGTACAGTTGGTTGCATTTTAGCTACCACCCTAACTAGAACTTGCTATGGTTACATGTCCATGATGCACTTGATGTGAGGGGAATATGACCTAGTGGCGTCAAGCAAGTGACTATAGCTTTCCGATCCTCGAAAGTGAATGAGAAGATTCATTCCCATGTCACATGGCCAGGTCGCTGTCGAGATTGTTCATTTTAAAATTCATATTTCATGCCTGCAACTCATGTAACACTTAGTCACCTGAAAATGCACAACTGCCTATCGCTGTCTGATGTCATAGGCATTTCCCTGGATTTCACCTTTGCCCTGAATAATTTTGAATTTCCTCATACTGAAGCACAAGCCATAATTGGATTCCTTGAGAAATTTCTTTTAAACTCTTCAGCCATACTTCTTTGTTGTGTTGACAATAGGGATATTTTTTGAGGAATGAAAACATGAGATTTGGCGAAATTTACAACTTTTTTTTAAAAACCAATTGTCACACATTTTATGCAGCATTTAAATTTCTCCAGCAATGAAATCTTCAGGTATCAGGATCTATTTCAGGGGAAGCTAGGTTGTTTTGCATGCAGTAACCTTGCAATATGGCTGCTATATTAATAAATGCCAAAATGTTTGTGCTCCATGAGGTGTGTCCATTGATGTAATAGTTTTTTAACATGCAAGATGGAACCCAAACAATTTTGGAACCTGCAGGAGTAAAATAAGAGTGGGATTGATAGTGAGATAATAGATTTGTGAAATTTTTACATAAAAAACTAAGGGAGTTAAATAAGGTAAGGGAAATATCACATATTTTCCCTGGAACAAAGATGCATTATCAGATAAGGTGGATTTTTGAACAGAGAACTAAGTGTTATAAAAAGCTTGATTAAAGAGTGGATGAAAATAGAATGCAAGATTATTATACCAGGGGGGGGAAGGGGGGGAAGGACAAAAGCTAAAACCAACTATTAAAAAAAAAAACATGGAGCTCCTCGAGTTTCATGAGGATATATCCCTTTCTTTTTCCATTTGTTTCTTGAAATTTCATGCTGCAAACATGACAAATTCCATGTCATTGGAAAGCTCTTTTCATCCCCTTCAAGTCATTGCAAAAAAAGAAAACAACACAACTCTTGCAGGAGTTTCCAAAGCACAATCAAGGGAAGATGAATGAGTCAATCTCATTCATTACTTCTTCACTGTTGCTTCTTTTATAGAATGTATATATGTGTATCATTTCTGAGATAACCACAACATACCTCAAGTCCCACAAGTCAATGATACAACTCGAAAGCAATTCATAATATTCCAAGTCCCAATAAATGCAAATAATCCCTCAATGGGAATTTTTTTTTTCCCAAAGAAAACACTTATGGTAACAATGGAATAATTGTCTATTTTCAAATATATAATTCCAGCAGAGAAACAAAAGTATGAGTACAAAAACAATGAAATAATACTTGAAGCTAGATCAATGTGATATTGAGCATAAAACATTATAAGTACATGGAAGGGTTGCCAGGTAAAAATTGTTCACTGACTCACATGCACTGCATGATCAAAGGGATAAAATATACATTTGGAAAGGTCACATGATCTCAAGATGAAAATATCACAGAAGCTGTCTAGTTGACTACCATGCTAGGACCTTAGGCATTTTAGTCTAGGATTGGAAACAACAGTAGTCACTCCTGGGCCTGCCTTAACTGCAGCCTAAGGTTAGCATGTGGAATCATTTCACTCTTAAAGATATATGAATTGATCTCAGACATCTGAAAAGATACAATCAACATTCACTGGCTGCCTGATATCACAGTTCACTTATTGAAGAGAGCTACATGAAATGATAAGGCAAGGCAGACAAAACCAAATACAAATTGGTTGCAGCCTATAGAGCTCCAGTTTCAAATATTGAGCCCTGAGAAATTTAGCATGAAAAAGAAGTTTCTCAGGAGAGAAAGCAATTGATCGCATTTTGCCTTTGAATAATACAGAAGGCATTAATAAGAATCAATTGCGTCCATACAGCTGAATTTAACATGTTTTGCTTTCAGTTACTGAATGTTGAGGATGTTCAGCAACCACAAAGTCATCCTCCACACACACTAGAGCCAAAAAAGAATTAGGCCCAATATAAAAAAGAAAAACTGAAAGAAAGGTTGATAATGTAGGAAGAAAAACAGTTGTACACATTGAACTGTTTCACATCTGAGGTGAACCAAATAAAATAGCTTTAAAAAGGTATTTCAGTCTATGGGAAATACTTTACAACCGGTAACTTCCCAATTCCCAGTTCTAAAAAATCCAATAATAATTGAACAAAAATTATCAAAGATAAAATATAAAAAATTGATGCCCTTTTCACACATTGATCACACCAATGCCTTAATGGATATTAAAAGGCATTTCCTCATTCTCACTAGTGATCAAAATTCAAAGATGTGGATTAGACAGCATTGTCATGGAAAAAATAAGGTTTCATCATAGAGCATGCATATCCAGAGGCATAATAATTGCAAATCCTTCAGTTTTCACTGGTTCTCAATTGTGCAGCATGTGGAATTCAAGGACAAATCATGGTTTTTCTGCAATAAATCAGCACTAGAGTAATAATTCTCTTAATTTTGGTAAACTACTCAATGCATCAATTATGTCTTTTAATATATCTGCTTCAGGCTCTGATGAGGCAAATTTCCAAATATAGCAGTATCTCACCAAGCTCACATCTTGTGAGTTACTTCTGATTTTTAAGATAAATATAATTCAATATTTGAGTTGATTCTTTTGGAAATGCATTTCACACATTAAACACTGTTGATGAGGCACAGAGTTTAGCAGATAGCCAGGAAGTGCTGGATCTACAGAATATCACATCTGGACTCTTCTCACGAGGATATGCAGATGAGGAATCACGTTCCTCTATTGTGGTAGGTTCTTGGACCTGTTCCTTCATGCATGCAAGGATGGACTCTCTTTGAATGAGGCAATCAGCAGTCAGTTGATGACTTGATACTAGCAAAGTTTCAAGGCTGGCTTTGTCTGACACAAGGTTCCCATTTGTGAAATGGGCACTTTGTGTCAGATTTCCTCCATCTTGAGTGGATTCAACTGGTGACCCCAGACACTCTTGTGATGATTCCTTCATGGGTTGTACTTCTGAGACATGACTCTCTTGTGATGATGCATGGATGGATTGCACTGTTGAGATTTCACTCCTTTGTGATGATTCGTGGCTGGAGTGTTGTATTGAGGTGTTACTCTCTTGTGATGAAGTGTTGGATCCAGGGTCTGACTTGACAGGGGAACAAAAAATGTCAATGATGTCAAACATATGCTGGGGCTTGTTGGAAAGTGATGAGTTTTTCTGGCTTCCTGATACTCCCAGCTGTAGCTGAGACTCATAGGTAACTTTTGGAGGAGCTGGAGGGGAAGAATTGAATAGCACTGATCCAGAATATGCTGTCCCAATGATGGACCTTTGCTCAGGTCTAATGTTCTCCTCCTTATCCATATTTCCCTCTGCTTCTTCTTGCTCTTTCACTTCAGCACATGGCATACTTGGACTTCTTGGATGAAATTCCTGCCACTCCATTCCAGCTTTGTTCTGAGATTTTTCTAATAAAACTTTATCTTCTTTCATCACAGTGGGTGGCCCCAATGGAATGTCAGGAGTTGATGTCTCATCTTCTATCTTGGGTAAAAAATGAGACCAGGAATACTCCTCTGTGTCCTGACTGGAAGTCCTTCCTGTCTCTTGACTGGATGTCCTTTCTGTCTCTTGACTAGATGTTCTTTCTGCCTCCTGACTGGATGATCTTTCCTCTACCTGACTGGGTGTCCTTTCTACCTCTGGATTGGATATCCTACCCAACTTATAAATGTGGGTACTTGGGTATTTAGATGATTCTTTTGGCACTGTCTTGAGCTGAACATCTCTTGGCCTTTCACCTTCCTCTTCTGAGCTGACATTGTTTAGAGACCTCAACATCTTGTCCTCTTCAGGGTTCTTTCTTTTCCTTTTTAATGAAGCTGGTTCATCAGCAGTTTCCTCAAAGATTCTCCTCCTGGTTCTCATGCTTTTTCTTAGCAACCAGTCACTACTAGAGCATCCCTCTTCCTCTTCTCTCAATCTGTGAGCAGTGCTTTGAAGAAGTGGATTCACTTCACCATATGTACTGGGTCCTTCCTGACTTCTACAAGAATCCAATGGAACCATGCCTACTCCTGACAACTGGGACTCTTCAAGGTGTATGCTCTTGAATGACAACTCTTCAGAGGAGCTCTCACTTCCTTTCCTCTGTCTTTCTCTTTGCAGAAATGAATTCAACAGCTCCAGTACCTACAGCATTCATAAAAAGCATTTAAAAAATCAAATGCAAAGAATGGCTTTCCATGAAACCACACATAATGGGAGGTAAATTAAGAAAATGACAATAAATTTTAGATTATATATTTTGTTCCACAACTTGAACACTGAGGAACATGCCTATTGAATTGGAATTTTGAAGAATGCACTGAAGCACCTTGTCAGTTTGCAGAAACCAAAACAAGGGTTATAGGAATTAATTCAATCACACCAAAGTGAAAGGAGAAATGATGACACATCATTCCAAGCCTACAGATAGTCAATCTATGCACACAAAGTAAATGGCTACTTCATATTCAACAACAAAAAACTTGCCAACAGTCACATTATTTAGTTTCCTCTGAGGCCATCTCTCATTGACATCAAAAATCCCAAAATCATCCACTTGAAATGGTAGCTAGAATTAGTAGCATTCTTTGTGTATGGCAATGAAAGTATTCCTGAAGAAACAGAATTCCTATGCTCAGTAGGTGCTCCCTCCCAGACATACAAATTTTTCGTATTCAGAGTTTTACTCTTAAAATTCATATCAGAATGAGGCTTAAAAACTCACTCACCTTCTCTTTACTTGAGCCAAAAGGAATGACATTTGGAACTGCCTGCATTGGCTTTAGGTACTTGATGAGATCCAGGATTTCTGAACAAGAAGAATGGGTTGGGTAGCAGAGACGCACAAATGAGGAATCTTCACTCACTGATGTGATGTCGCTCATATCACTCCTCACTGCAAACCACATCACAGATGGTTTTATCATTCTGACATAAATAGGATATCCATCTGCACTCCTAAAGCCACATCTCAGCTGGCCTTCCTGAGCAACATCACGGCCATGCACCTGCAAAACATAAATGAATTTAGGTGATTTTCCTCTTGAATGAAATACTGCACTTGCCTGCTGTGCCATTGAAGTTACTGAATAATAAAAATTATGCCATTAGATCATCATGTAAGCACTTGGTCACACTATTCTTGACCTTTAGCATATGAAGTATAAACTTGCCTACAGAGTTCAAGAATTAGAGCTGCACAGCACTGACAAGGCAAGGGCAATAAGATGAGATCTTGCTCAGAAATTAGCTAGAAATGTTGTTGGGTATAATGCAAACGATAAGGATGCTTTTCTCAGGAAAGTCCAGAGACAAGAAATGACAGGAGAAGCTTGAGGTGCAAGGCTTGGGTCAGGGGGCAAAGAAACATATATTCCCATAGAGATTTCCCAAATCAAGATCAACAGGAATCATGCAAAATTTTTGAAAAACAAATACACATCCACCTGCTTCAGTCTGTCAGATTTGAAAGGCATGGATTGCATTGTAGCACCATTAGCGAAAGGCAGGAATGCAAATTCCAATGACAAATAAGATAAGAACAAAATGTGCTCAGCTCACCCCAGGGATTATGCATGCATGAACCCTTGTTTCATTGGGATCACAGGTTACAGCATCCAATATTTCTGTGACCCCCTCATACTGCTTCCACTGCCAGTCAGTTACGTGGATCTTGCATCCTATCTTCTGCTTCACTTGTAGCAACAGGTATTCATGTCCATATGTAGCTAGAAAATGATGTTCAGTTTGCAACATAAAGACTGATAAACAGAAAGGGGAATTGATTAAGAGGAAGAGGAGACAGAAGCACATTGACTTCAGCATAATTCTCCCCATATTATACCTGAAGCTCTGATGTGAATGACATGCCAAGGGCTCAAATTCAACCATTCCTGGATGACTTCTGCTAACTTATCAGCTGACTCATGCCTAGAAGGGAAATGCATGGCCTTCTCAGAGCAAAAAGTTGTATCTATGTAAATAGTCTTGATGGTCTTGGGTTTTCCATCCAATTTGTGAAGGGCTTTCATTGCCTGAACATCCTCTAGTGAAAGTCGGAAGTCTCCGGTGTACAAAACATTACCATCTGGTCCCTCTAATAGCACCCTAAAGGAATGGAGAAGTTGGTCTGCATTCATAAATCCATGTTTGAGACAATGATGTGATGAAATTGACGTTTGTGCTCACATGACAGAGCCAGGACAATGTCCAGCTGGGAGGAACGTAATGCTGACATCATAAGGGGAACTTAGTGAGGGATGAGTGATGGTGTAAGTCATCCTTTGGTTAACAGGCGTCGGGCAGATGAACGGGTGCAAGTGGGTGAATCTTTCTTGATTCAGAAGGAAGTAGGAACTTATCACACTCATGAGAAGTCGTTGTCCACCCAAAGCACGCAAGCGACTGGAGAAAGCCACATCCTGCAGCCCCACCATGTGATCTACGGGCAGAAGAGAACTGATGTCCTAATATCCGGGGAAAGGGAAAACCGTTGCTGGAGTATGCTTAAATTTAGGGCTAATGGATGAGCTATCGAGACGAACCTGCGTGGACGTGTGATAGAATGAACAACGAAGACTGGAGATTGGCGAAGCCATTGAATCTATCCAGCGAAATACCTGGAAACTCCTTCAAAGTTCCAGGAAAGGAACTCATGTTACAGGCATAGAAATTTTAAAAACTTGAAACGGGAGGGCATCTGAAACGGCAGAATCTGCAGGCACAGAAATGAGCAGGCTTGATACTTACGTCAAACATGTGAGCAGCCTGAGCTCACAAGGACGCAGCCATGTTTGCGCGTCTACGACTCTTAGTTCCAAAGACAGACGAATTGGTGAGTCCTTGGATATTTCAGTGCGTTCTAGGGACGTGGCGAGTGAGTTCGCGATAGAAGTCGTCGAGAAATTGACTTGTAGCTGATATTGGATAAATTGACACACGTTAAAGTCAGCTGGCTTGATTTCGTTACTTTCCCCCAACACCTTTCAGGCTGAAAGGACAGCATAAATATACTGTAGTTACGGAGGGGAAGTGGCAGACGGACGGCATGAGAGGTCGAAAGAAGCCAAGGAACCGCCGGGAATTGAACCCGGGCCTCCTGATTGCCGGTCAGGTGTGCTACTTTTACACCACCGAACCCCGGACATTCAGTCGAGTCTCGATGCCACCCTCATCCGTCACAATATGAACGAAAATCATTTGCTTATTATGGCTTGGCTAAGGTCGTGAACGTACCGATTGCGTCACAGGTTCTAAAAGTTCCTTTCTGTCCCGAGTCCCTAATGGTGACTCTCCAGTGCCTTTGAGAGTCACCCGTTTGTTTCAATATTCATCAATAATGAAAGTATCGTATAACTAGCCCATGACTGCCAAGCAATACTTCTCTGACGTAGCGGGGGGGGGGGCTTCAGCCCCCCAAGTTTGGTTCAAGTCCCCCAACTCCGGTCGTCCACCACTCCCCCCCCACCCCGACGAGGCGAAGTAAGCCCCCCCAACGTTCCGCTTAGCCCCCCCCCCCCATTGACGAAAACCTGACTATGCCACTGTCTACTAGTCCAGATTGAAGCAATAGTCAAGAGTCCGAGGCCATTCACAGATTCATCTAGACAGAGAAGTTCTGGGTTCTGCCATGACTGTAGCTCACGCATCGGATAAATTTATCGTATGTATTCTCACGAAACACCATCTAGTCCAGATATAAAATTTATCGCAGAAGCTACCTTTTCTTTAAAAAAATAAAAATAAAAAAACGAGGTTTGCATCGAAACAGCTGGAGTGGTGACTCGCAAAAACGGCTCAAGTGCCCACAGTCCGAGTCACCACCGCCCCCGACAGGAGCCACTCCTGAGTCTTTCCTTCCTGCCGATGGGAAAAAGAAAATTCCCGAAGCCAGTCCTTGATGCGATTACGTCACGTTGATACGTTGATGGGTGTCGCTAATTGGAATTAAAATTGACATTCAGCCCGGTGTGGTCCCGACTGACGACTTGATTCAGTCAGGTTGCCTGGTCCTGATGCGACCTAGAAAGAAAATGCAGTCGCGAACGCTCTGGATCTGGCAAAAGGCGACGAGAGATTCCACCCGAGCCCTAGTGGATGCTCTACGAGAGTATAACCTCGCATTTTCTTTTTCTTCAGAAAGCACAGAATTTTGCACGGCTTGGAGCCAAAAACAATTTTCTGCCGATCGAGGGGGAATTCCGGCTGTAGGTTTCCAGAGTGAAACAGAAGTGTAAGAGAGTAAAACGTGTGGATACTCCAGCGGGTGAAGTGGCCCTCTTCCATCTATGTAGCCGAGGGCGTAAAACCCCCCAAGGCGTAAAAGTAAAGGTTTTCGGCCAGACTAGAGAAAGGCTGTGGTCTCGGTTCACGGCGGTCTCTCGCATGCCCAAGCAGAAAGCCACGCTTTTGGTTCCGATTCCTTGTGGATACACCCGAGAGGGGTCACACCCGAGACTCGACTCTCCCGGTTCACGATCTTCGATAATTTTGCAGTAAGTCCAAATCAGAGAACGTGAGGGCAGAGAATCGGCGAAGGGAATTGCGACGAACGGATTCGCATCCGTGGGAGCGAAATGACACACTAAGGACGAATCCTACAGCGGATTATTGAACGATAAACGAGACCAGATAATTGTTCGGATCGCTCGAGCAACCCGGCGGGATGGTCTCAAGGCTTTTCCACGTTCCCTCAAACAGTTGGGGGAAAATCCTCGCAAGCCCTCTTGTTTGGGTCTCGTACGAAGCAAATCTCGATTCGAGATTTTTGCTTCGTAATCCTAAGCCTTCTGCCACGACTAGATATTACTTTCAGTTTCACCTCAACCCCTTGAGTGTGATTTAGGGGGAGTGAAGCATGACACGCGAGGCGTGATTTAACTGATCGTGTACGACGACTTCAGTTGTTCCATCATATTGTATGCCTAAGCGTGCACGGCGATTTTAGTCGTCCATGCATTTCTTATGCAATCGCATCTTCTCCCTCGTGTAGCTATTCCCGTGCAGGAGTTTCATATAAAGACTTAATACATGATGTCAAATATGGCAATATGTGGGCTCATTATTTAAAACATATTTGACTCCATATCATGTTTTGACCGTACGCAACGCATATGGAACCGTATATAGCTCATATGCAGCTCTTTCATACCAGCATTTATATTTACCGTCGCACGAGCTCAAGGGGCTAATTTGATAGTCAACTAAATCTGTTGTGCACGTCCGATCGCGTCAGTGAGTAACGATTAGAACGACTGGAGCATGATGTCTATACCTCACTTTCGATGCAGCTCGAAGTCGGAATTTCCCAGGAAACGGAATGCATCGAGACGATGCAGGCTTTGGAGCTCACGGCACCCAACTCCATTCCCATTGCAAGACTGGCGATCGAACGACACTTACGAGTCTTCATTCGGAGTCCTTTGCAAGCACGCCTGTAAGAAGGAACCGTAAGCAAACGTACCGGTTTCAATATTCCTGCCGCATGAAGCAAGACCGGGAGTAAATTGAACTGCACGCGGCTTGCAAATGAAATGGGAAAAAAAGCTTCACCTTCTGTTGAGCCAGAACGAAGAGCCTCGAGACTGGAGGCGATGTAGGTAGTTCGCAGCACTGGTCTCTCAACCAGAGTTTGAAAGGGGGGGGTCCTCCTCTCCAGCGCTCAATTGTCTAAATTCACGCCGAAACTGCGAAGAGGAGAGCATAGTTTTCCTACTCCTTCATATTGAGCTCTCAAATGAGCTGGCCAATACCGCTGAAGGTTTGTTGGATGTGCCATCGTAAGAGTCTTCCACTCGGGGGCAAGGCTTCGTTTTGGCTCCGCCACACTTTCCGCTGCTTCATCTGCTGAACTTGGCTCCTTCTCTCAAGTATCTCGGACGAGAAATGTCCGAAGCATTTTTTAAGGCCAAATGACTCCATCTTCCTCGCGTGTGATATGAGCCTTTGCTATAGCGCTTTCGCAATTCCAGTCACTCCCTTGATAAATAACAGCCGATTTGACAGATTCTGGAAGAGCACGGTTTCACTTTCTGTTGCATGAAAGTCCTTTTTGGACTTTGAATCTGCTGCTCTGGAGGCATTCCAGCACGTCTGCAGCTTTCATTTCACTTTTTTTTCTTTCTTTCTTTCTTTTCACACTTTGACTCGCGAGAGGAGCGGGACTGCCTCATCGCAGAAGATTCGCAGTCGGAGAATTGCGGGCCAATCCCATCCCGACGCTTCGCAGTTTCGAAGATCGCCGATGAGGATCCGGAATTCCCGGCATGTTCGCGGGGAATTCCCGGCGAAGAAACGAAGACGCTTCAAGTAAAGGCTCGTATGGAGCCATTTCACTTCGTGGGAAAAGTCTCTTGCGTTCTAAATTTGGAATAAATGCCGGAACTGGCGTGCTATTCTGCCTCGTAGAAGCCACAAGTGCATGGCAGAATATTGGCATTGCGAAAAAAATCCGTTATATTCAAAGTAAAAAAGAAAGAATCCTACAGATGAAAGAGAACAGAAAAGGGCACAGAACGATTTGGCCGAAACAGACCTTCATAAACCGGATACTCAGGTATTAAAGGGCAAATTGGACGAGGAAAACGAAGTTCACTGACGGTTTTGGCAATACCGCATTCTCAAAGCGAGTTTCTCGGGAGGAAATGCGAATGTCGTCGTAATCAAGGCTTAGAAGATAAAAGAAACGCATCTATAAATCTCGACGGCAAGAGTTAAAAAAGAAAGTTAAAAAACCACGAGTCGCACATTTGCTGGCAAATCTGCCAATCCGCCGTGGTCGCAGTTTTCTGCGATTCCCATTCTCATCGAAAAAAAATCCCGAAGAATATGCGGTGAAATAATTTCTCGGTACCGTGGATTATTGCACGCGTCTTCCTGGGCGGGCGAAGGAAGAGAAAGAAGTCCTGTCGTCTGAGTGGGTCTTCGAAAGCCCTTAAGATCGGAATTTCAAGGTTTTCTCGGAAGACAAAGGGCGCGTTCGCGACCCAAGTGGACTCGGTCTCACTCGGTCTCACTACGTCTCTCTCGTCCCTTTCGCGGAACGCCCCCGAGCCATTCCCGAAGAGGACGAGTCGATCGAGGCGCAGGGGCTTGCGAATGTCGATGTGTCGGTTGGGAGCAGAGATTTCAAAATGACCACAAAGTGAACGATGAGCATGAAGTGAACAATGAGAAGAAAACTATAAAGAGCCGGTTCCATAGATACGAGGTGATTTCATAAACTAAAGCCTGTTGTTTTTTTCCTCCCTAAGTTTCATAAGCACATGAACGAGGGTGAAGAGAGTAAATTGATGATTCCTACGCCAGGTGGCAGCACGATCCAACCTCTGCAAGCTTGCGTCAGCTAAATAACTGCACTTCCTGTTAGCAGCGACTCGAAAATGAGGTCTGCTGCCTTTGACATCGTATATGATGTTTGCAAGGTGCACACAAGAAGGCAAAGGTGCATCTCCCGTGAAAGAAATCACGCAAGACCTATCGAGCATATGTTGAAGGTGGTACGAATTCATCTTCAAATCTTTATACGACAGCCGTGCACTGACGCGCTTCGTATCGAAAGAGCAGCGAATTCTCATAAAACGCTCGACTCTGAAAGGAGAAGTTGCATCAGAAATCCACCGGCAGCGAGCAACGGCGTGCGAAAACGAAACGAAAGACGCTCGCAAGCGACACGGAGCGAAGACGGAGGCACCGGGCGGATCCCTCTCTCACACTGCGACTGCGCCGAGCGATTCCCCGTTTCCGTTTCTCCCAGTCCC